ACTATCCTATTAAGTTCCATGCCTTCCCCAATAAACGACTGATGATCGGTGGCGCGGAACCATCCCTAACTTCGTTGATGAGTGATAAAGACTGCTTGCATCTGATATGGCCACATCGTTGGGAGCACGACAAAAATCCAAAACTGCTGGTAGAAGTGTTATTGGAACTTAACAAGCGACAGGTCGACTTCAAAGTGACGATATGTGGTGAGAATTATCAGGCGGCACCAGAGTCCTTCGATGGTCTGCAAGACAAACTGGGGGCAAAGCTGATAAACTTCGGATTCTTGCCACGAGATAAGTACATTAAGACGTTATTGTCCGGCGATGTAGTAATCTCGACGGCAGGACATGAGTTCTACGGTGTAGCTATGTACGTGGCGTGCAAGATACATATGTNATACTCAGCTCAACATTTAGTGCCTAAATTCCTCGAGAAGCTGCGCATTTAATGTCGCATATTCTCGCAAGGTCGATTTTTGAATAGATTTGGTGCAATAATTATTGAAGCAAAAAATAATATAATGTGGAAAAGGTTTGAAATTAAATGTTGTCATGCAGGACTATCCCATTGGCTTAAGCGGATATGCATTAGAAGCGCAGATATCCGGTGTTCTAGGTGGAAAATGTAGACCAACCGGACCCCTAAGCTAACAGATAGAAAAGTTCAAAACTTTACGAACAAAATTTTTGCATAAAGATGGGGCAACAAATTTTTGTGCTTGGAAATCTGTTACACTACTTAAAATTAATATTTGGTTAAAATTTGATAAGTTCAATAATTTCGCTGGTAAATATTCCTGGATATAATTGTTTGTTGTTCTTAAGCCTATACTACTGTTTTCCATATCATTACAAATGTACATAGAAATGTACCCTTACATATACATTTTCTATATTCTAAGCTACTATAGAGTAACTGAAACGGAAGCGTTCGTTGTTTAAAAGTTTATAATACTTCTTATTTTGTATTCCTCATTATTTTGCTAATGTTAAAGAGTTCATCTAAATATATGTATGTTGTATCAAAGTAAAGTACGAATATATAGATATTCACGTGATTTGGTTGAGTTACTGTTGCATTGCGCCGGATTTTCCTAAAAATGATTTTCTTTAAATTTTGGCGGGGCTGAGTATGCCATTTTTTCGTGTGTGCGATACTCTTCGTCGTCGTCGTGACACTCGCGAAAACATTGTGTACAAAATAGTTCCCCATCGCAGCCTTTGCAACGGTATGCTGCATCTTCGTTGCAGATATTGCACCATGGCAACTCTTCGAAATCGCTAGGACGTGTTCCATCTGGTGGTGGCGGTACACTAGCAGCCAGTTCAGTTTCTAAATCTGTGGCGGTGCTGCAAACGCGCGCCCGTTAAATACTAAAAGGCAAGTTCAGTCAAAATATATCAAGCGATCCCATACTATTTATACTTAATACCTTTTCCATAACAGCTTTCAAAACCGTTTCATCATCTTCATTATCACTAGGCGTATTTGTGTCTGGTGAGTTGCCTTTTTGACCCGGTCCTAGATTGGATCTCAACGCATCATCCACCGGGTGTTCCCTTAATGCTCTCAACCGGCGTTCAATATCTGATATGGCGTCATCGCGTTCATTTTCTACCTTCCTATCAATTTGTGTTTCACCCATAAATTGCTCTAACAGGTCGTGCATTTTTTGTTGATTCGTACGTTCGTCTGTAGAGAGAAGTAAGTCTTTTTTGGAGTAATCTTTGTGGGGCATGCCATTTAAATTCGCAAGCCGTGCGCGTATCTCATCATCTGTTCCAGAATTTTCAATTGTTTTCAGGTCTTTCAATCGTTTTGAAATCACATTATCAAGGTTGCCATCGATATAGGCATCCACTGTATTGGAATGTGTAACCGAAGCCGCCGATGTGGAGCTTGCAATCGGTGCCAGCACTTCACCTAAATCAGGTGGCGGATCATCTCTGCAATGATAAGTTATACAGCATCCATAATAATTTATATACTAAGGATTTTACTCTAGCAAAGCTGCAGCTGCCACTACTAGAGGATCGGTACTCCTTTTCGCGGTGGACTTTGTCACGAGCACACCAGGCAAGGCATCGATGTCAACGACCTTTTCAGTTGGTTGCAGTTTTGAGAGTTTGTCATAGCATATTAGACAAACGTTCAATACTTTGCCACCGTGTCGCGGTACTGGCATTGGTCGTTTCAGGCATTTTAAGCAATAAGAGTAGCCACAATTAGGACAACCGTGCTGCTTAAACAAAGAAAATTACTTTTTGTGGTACTAAATTACGGTAATTCTGATTTAGTTTGGAAGTTACCTCTTTAGTGAAGAGTCCATACCGTTTACCGCAACCAAAGCAGGACATTTTTGAAAACTAAAACATAAATATATATGTTTGTGTGTAGCAACTATTTTGCACTTATTTATAAAAAGTTATTCGATTGCTACGAATTTTAATTATCTATGAAAAAAATGGATTATTCACTGTTTATCAGCAGTCAGCTGTTATTTACTAAAGCCGCTTGAGGCGACACCTGTATGTCAGTGGCACGATTGACATTTCCTTTCTCACAAAACGGATGTAAGCGTCAGTTCGCGCGGAAATGTAATTTGTAAAGGCTGTGTGAAAATTTAAGCTCTGTGAAAAAATGTTTAAAAGAGTGTCTATTGCGATAAAACTGTTAAATTTAGGCAATTTTTATGCGTTTGGCTAGTGTGTGTTAAAAAAGTGTTACTTAATGTTTAAAATATATGTGTGTAGTAAAAGCGGTAAGCTATTTAGTTGTGCTGGCAAGCAGGCCAAGCTAGTGAAAATCTATTTTCATTTTGCAAGAAGGTAATAGCTTTTATTTGAATAAGTTTTGGCTTTTGTGTAGAAAGTTGTGATGTGTTATAGTGAGTATACTTCAGATGCCTATTGTGACGTTTTTAAGTAACCGGCGGAAGCATATTCCGCCAATCTGGGTGCTGACACAAATTATGAATCCTAACCTCACAACGTGCCTATAAATAGGTAAGCGATTGTTTTTGTACCACTTTTTGTAGGGCAATAAATTCATTTCTTTTTGACAGTGAATCTTACAATTTGTTTCTGACTATGTATAAAAACCAAGGCACATTAAACAGGTAGTATCAGTAGAGCAAAAACAACATTTGCGTGTATTTTGTTGTTGCTTCTGGTATCGAAAGTGTCAAAAACTGTTCTGAATTTTTTCTTCTAAATCAAAGCGTGCCATGTGAAATACAAACAATTATAAAAAATAAAAAATTGAAATTGGGGAAAAAAAGTGGTGCAACTTTCTTTCCTAGTTGTTGTTGTTGTTGTTGTTGTTGTAGCGGCTACAACAACCCCGCC